AGTTTTTCACCTTTTCGGAGCCTTTTCGCCATGCATATCCGGGCTTCAGCGCATGAAAATGGCGAAAATGAGCCTCTTTCAAAGCTTTCAAAGTGCGAAATCAGAGAAAATACACCGGAATTCTTTCGAGCCCCTCCAACCTTGTTTCGGACTCCGCTCACTCAAACGTATTTTCCCCCAATACGGACCTGGGCTTCGAGCAAAGATCATTTTTGCCATTTTCGTTCGCTGAAAAGCCCAGATATGGGTTCCTCATTGCAGGAAGACTCCGAAAAGGTGTGAATTGGTTAACGAAATTCTGCCGGAGCAATGCCTTCGAGAGCCCTAAACCTCAGCCCTTTAAGCGATTGAAGATAAACTTGATCTTGGGGGTACATTACTTGTCTAGAAACTGATTGAAGTTGTAATGGAATGTACTAACTCGTGCCTGCCGTAGTGCTTACAAACCAGTTAGAAGTCATAAAGCTGTCATTTTTTTGCTTGTAAGCATCATCAGACCAGGTGTTTCTTATGATGAGAAGGAAAAGTTGATGTGACAAGCTTGAAGAGTATGATTTGATTTTTTACACTCGTTACACTGCTAGTAATTTTATTTTTCATGATTACTTTCCTATTCCAGGGAGGGGATCTCTTTGAACATCTTTGCGTCGTGCGGCGACTATCTGAACGACAATCCGCTCGTCTCACAAAATGTCTTGTCCAGGCTCTATCGTAAGTAATCCTCTATGCTTTCACATACGTAACAGAACTTATCATTTTTTGTAGTTATCTCCATGATAATTCTATTGTTCATCGTGATGTGAAGCCAGAAAATCTATTGGTAAGCAAATTTCTGACATCTTGCTTTTGAAAACCTTTTGGATGCTGTCTCTTGCAGCTCTACACCGCCCCACATGGAGAGTTTGAGCTGAAACTAGCCGACTTTGGTTTGGCTACCGAATTGCCTGAAGATGGCAGCAAGCTGTCGACCATCTGCGGTACACCCACCTATGTGGCATCAGAAGTCATACTTGAGACTGGGTTAGTTCCTTTTCATTACCTCCAGGTTTTGTTGTGTTTACCACCTTGTGAACCTTTTTGTTTCTCTATTAGTTTTGTTTTTTGTCATGGCTAGCTTACCATGTCAACAAATATTTCAGCTACGATGAAAAAGTTGATGTGTGGGCCACCGGTGTGATACTTTATGTTATGTTGTGTGGATTTCCTCCATTCCAGAGGTAAGTTTTTCTAGGTCTGAAAGGTTTTCCTGATTCTATGAATTTTCTCCTTTTTCTTTATTTCGATGTTGTGGGCAAAGTTTCCTTTTTTTATCGAAATGTTCACAACATTTTTTTCCTCAAATTATCAATGTGTAATCATGATTAATTCCACTTTTTCAATAATCCTGATTTCGTGAGTACAAGCCGCACCCTTTTCGAGTTTTTTTCAAGCTAGCCGCTCATCTGCTTCACTGTGTTTTAGAAAACGATCCGTATGCTGCACGACTCTTTTCAGCAATATACAGCATAGGGCCTTTTGACAGCGAAGTCTTGGCGTGTGTTGCTCGATTTTGGAAAAAAAATCCCCCGCGCCTTGTGCGCTTGAAATTAGGGT